CACCTCTTGTCAGTAACATGGTAGCCACACTCTAAACACTAAACTTTTCAGGCCAGGAAGCTACATTCAAGCGTGAGGGTGGGAGAAACAGGAGAGTCGAAAATCACGAGTTTCTACCAACGAGAAACGGAAGAATAATAATAACCAGTGCAGCCAGTGCAGAGTGCCTGACGAGCCCAGTTATAAGTACACTGTTAAGACTTGACTGTACACCGTGTTTGCCGCCTCCGAAACAATAAAGTTCCATTGGAGCAGCCTTTTAACGCCTCTGTCTTTCTCTTGCTAGCAAAGTTGACCTAGACAGTAAAGCTAGGTCCCGACATGTTAACCAGAGGTGTCTTTACTATGATTCCATCCAATGAGATGACAGTGCTAGCAGCGGGCCGCCGCTTCTCTGAGTTTGGTGTACATGAACTGGAGATGCCAAAAGGATACTTTGCACTTATTGCTAATTTGTTCATATCAGCACGCTAAATCCCCAGAATAAAAAAGCAAACATAATAGTTGCTAATTCAGCATTTTGGGATTATCACTGTGAGCATGTTAACATGTTGATGTGAAGTTTGTGGCGCTAGTGCGTTCTGTAGCAGACTCTTGTGCTTTATGGTCAGAGGGCCCGGTGGCGCCTGTGTCCGGCAGCCTCGCCTCTGTCAGTGCGCCCCAGGGCAGCTGTGGCTACAATGTAGCTTGCCATCCCCAGTGTGTGAATGCGTGTGTGAATGGGTGAATGACTGAATGTAGTGTAAAGCGCTTTGGGGTCCTTAAGGACTAGAAAAGCGCTATACAAATGCAGGCCATTTACCATTTATTGTTGTGCCTTTGTCTAACATTGCTAAGTCAAAGTAGCACTATAACTTAACTTTATTTTCCATTTTTAAAAAAGAAATGGTAGTCAAATGAAGAGGGCTCTGATACAGATATATCACAAAGAAGTAAAAGGCAGGCCCAGTTATAGTCCACAGAATTAAAGCAGATAAACCTTTGGTGCTTCCAATATAAGGTGGATGCTTGTAGTTTTATACTGCGTTAAATTAATAAATTCTCTATATGCGTACTTATATGCTCTTTGTTGAATTTGACTCATTCCTGCTCATTCATTTTGAGTCTCATTCTTTCTTTCCTATTGGGCCTGTGTTGCATATGTCCCTGAGACCACATTAAGTGTTTTCTTCCACTGAAACACTGAAGGGTTTTAGTTAGAAACAGTAAGTGTTGCATTTGTGTTAACAGCATAATGCAGAAATCAAAAATCATTGTGTTGTGGAAAATTGCCAAATATGATTAATTACACATCTTAGAGGAAGTCATGAATAAAAGCCAGTTTAAAATATACGCCTGCCAGATTTTGCAGTTGAGAAAAATAAAGACCTCTAACTTTTTTAAGGAAATATTCTATTTATGAAAAAGTTTTTAATTGTCTATGAACATTACAAAGAAAAACTGATAGCAGAAATTTAACACTTCACACACAACACAAACGTAAAACAACTATATCTGCAGAACACTGCACTGATGGAACCTCAGCCGCTTGCATTACCCACTATCAGAGAGTGTGGAGCGCCAAATCAGTCATGTTGCCTGCAGTGCAAACACTCAGTTAAAGCATATTAGCCTCATACCAGTCTGTCTGCAACTAGCCACTACAACACAAAGTACAAAACACACACAGGTCAGCTGACACAGCATTATTTCTGTAGCACAGTCCCTATCACAACCCTTAATGTGCGTGTCTCTCTCTCTCTCTCTTTTTCCCTCTCTCTCTCCAGTCAAATGTCAGCAAGTGAAGGCCAACTCTATTAATATTTCAGAACCAATTAAATAAAAGCACACATCATGCATGTTTAATGTTCGCCTGCCGAGAGAGCCAAATTTGCCATTCTGTCCTCTACAGGTAGGCCAGGCTGGTGATAGATAGCCTCGTGTACAAATGCTGTGTTTACTGTTTTTTGTTTTAACAAATTATTTCCTCCTACTGATCTGGCTGAATGACCTAGAACCTATTTTCTGTCCCAGCTCAACAGACTCTAGACAGGATGACCCTGTAAGCACAGTAACCCAGAATTTTCTAGACTTTCTGAACTAGTAACAGGACCCGTAGTCGTGCTGTCATGTTCTCTAAAGAATGAATATACATTTGGAACATGGACACAGACCAACACCTTAAATGCAGTTCTGAACTGTTTGTTCTCACATCGCACTAGCCAACTTGTAGATAGCTCTCTGTCAAACTCTAATATGTATTATCTTACATTGTCTACAGCTGTAAAGGGACCGTGATGCAGTCAGAAGGACTGTAAAGCAGACGCCATACAGATCTATAGTGCAGTGGTTCCTAAGCATTTTGGCTCCTCACCAGCTCTTCCATTAGATTCCTCTTCGATTCTGGTAAGGAGAATTTTGCAGAGCTATGTCAAGCTTTCCTTGTAAATGCTGGGTATATAAAAAAAATGGACATAAAACACTGTAGCATAGACAAGCACAAACCCAAGCAAAAAGAGAGTCCCAATAGGCCAAGACGGATATTTAGGCTTTTCTGACTGAGGTCAGGATTGGCTTTTTTCTTTGCTACGCAGCACGATCTAGGTTTGTGATTTAAAGCAACAACAATCAATATGACAATGACGATGATTCAAATAACTATCAGCTCAAGGTTATGGTCATAGTGACAAGTCAATTCATCAGATTTCCCTCTTCAGCTCTTCAGAACCTTTTAGCATCATTCAGCTCTTTGTTTGGCTCAAAACTTCACGGTTATTGTTTACAGTGTTGTTTTTATAGTGACAAAGCACGTGGGCATTTTTTTAAAGAGCAATACCTGCTTAGCATCAAAAGGCAGACAGAGAAAAGCATTTTTCACAACTGCTGTTAACTCATGTGAAGTCCCACAGGGCCATTCTGTACAGGGTGTACATGTTGCCCTTTAGACATGTCAGTTGCCCTTGTGTCCCACCTATATTAAGTCGATGACTCCCAGCTTTAGCTATCATTTAGTACTAACAAAATTACGAGAATCTTAATACTGCACAGTTCCACTTTAATGCTTTTAAGGACTTGATGATCTCTCATTTCCTTGTGACCAGCAAGCTGTGACAGCTATTTTCAGTCAGATATGACTAGCTAGGTGGCCAGGCTCACTATTTTTCACACTCGTTTAGAAAAACACTGCAGTTTAGAAAATTAAATTACCTTATGGGCTGATGCAATTGCACTCAGCTACATGGCTGCGTACCAACACTGAGCAAAGTACATCAGTGTTAATTAAGCAGAGCACAAGAGGGTGGCAGTATAGGGAGGATCAAATCTGTAAGCTCCAAATGTTTAAATAACTAACTTTTTGAGAATCTTGCAGACAGGGCAAGCTACTTCTGTGATGTTGTCCTATTAAGCACTTAGAAACGGGATTAAGTTTGAGCAGCAGGTCTCTCCCTGAAGGTAGACAAAGGCTGTGCGTTAAACGCGCTGGACCAGCACAGTGAAGCAAACATCCCTGAAATGTTACAGCGAGCGGACGTCTTACTCAATGTTAATTACTATTACTGTAAAGGAAAAAGAGTTTGTTTGGAGAGGAATGAATTGGCTGGCTGACAGGCTGATTAACATCCAGCAACAAATCTGTGCTCTGTGTCTGTCTGCCCATAATTCTCCTTTCATCCCGTTTTTTCCCATCACTGGCCCTCTCTGTCTTTACTTCCTGCCTAATTATCTGCATTAGCTTAATGACTAGGAGCCACTGAAGCTTCTGAGTACACCATGTATGTCTTACAGTCTTACAGTGTTCAACAGAGAGCAAAACACTTTTTATGTTCCACTGCTTTCAGTCTCTGCAATAGATATACGGTTTGCCAGAGACTTTTTAAAGCAAAGTCAATTATACGACTGCTCTTACCCTCTATTCAGCGACAAACTGCTGAGCAGCTTTGTCAGTATTGATAAAAAGCATTTCCATTATCCCAACATTCAGTCGCCAAATCACATTAAACAGTTTGATGAATAGAATTCAGTCAGATATTAATTTGTGAAGGCATAACCCTGAACAGCTGTGAACTTTGGGAGGCCTCTTCTGCCCCCTGCAGTTCACAAACTGTAACTACATGCATTGAAAGCAGCTCAAACTGGAGATTTGACAGCCCTCCTCCAACTGCATTCTAATGAGCACACAAGATACAGACACAGCAAGTTTAACATGGGTGACATGAAACGGGGTAGGTAAGATGGGTTATAACCGACAATTTATCGTAAAGAGCATGATTACATATCGACACTGCAGTTGCACAGACGACTATATGTGCTCGCGCCACATCCATGCAAGACCATGTGTACAGAAAAAGTGGGCACCATCACAGAAACATTTAAAACATTTTTTAAAAATACACAAGGTCTGTATTCACATGGTCCACAGACACAAAACAACATAATGTTTTGGTTGTGGTTTCAAGAAATTAATGCAGCACAGAAAGTTTGAGTAGATTTGTCTACTAAAGGTACTACATGTAGCATTTTTAAACGCCAGCAAAGTAAGTATATCATTGTAAAATTAATTATGTTATAAGGTATAACTACCATCAAAGACACACTTTAGAAGTCATGTCGTTTCTTAAAGATAATATTAAAATGGTCCAATCCCTCCACACTGCCTCCCCTCCAGTTGTGGCCCTTTTTCTAAAAATATAAACATGTTCACTTTTCATTCCTTCTGCCATCTGCTGCTTAGACCTCTGGCACTGTAGCAGTAATTGCACACAGGGATCGCACAGAGTATCCTATTAACGTTGACTTACTAACATTTTGTTAATGTTTAAATGCTGCATGGAACACCTTACAAAGTTTCTGTGCACTGTTAAAACACGATGTTTGAATTTCACCCAGTACAGCGAAGACATTCTGCAGATGTGTCTCACAGAAACGCAAAGCATCCTGCATGCTCATTTAATCGGAAGTTTACAGATGAGAAACGACCAAAAACACAAACAAATGAAGCTACGAACGCATGCCAGGATTACCTGGTAGTAGGCGTGGCTTTGAGAATAGAGAGAGGAGAAAGGCGGGGCTGGGACTTCATTCAGCCTCTCTCCCTCTGGGTGAGGCCACGCCTCGTCATCAAAGGGAACTTCAGGTGATTCTACCTACAATGTACAGACATGAGCTCAACAAAGTTCGACACGCACACGAACTAATATGTTTAGGTGCACTGCGCTCTGATCGTTGCACAGGTGTGAGACCGACATATACTTTTATTTAGAATATATTTCCTTCTTAATGATGGTTGTGCAAAGCAAAGGGAGAAAACAGAAAGTACGAATGGTCACATCTGTGTTCAATGGAAATTAAAATAGCTGAATCTCATTCATAGTCAATGATCATTAATGTAAACTTGGCAAAAAAAAGTATAGGAATTTGTGTTTGGTGGATTATTTCTTTGTTGTAACAATGTTTATTGGCTATGAAGTCCTATGCTGTTGAAAGCCTGTTTATTTCCCCTGAAATGGAGCCACATTTGTAAAGAAAATGCATTTGTGGGTTGTGCCAATGAAAAACTTGCCACACACACAACAGCCTGGCACCTGCTCCTCATGCTGGTCATCAGCTCGGTTATATCCCGCTGTGGGATGTCATCCCATTCCTTGACCAGCATTCAAGTCAACCAGTGTGGCTGTGCTGGTCACTTTGGCACAAACAGCACAGCCAAGTGTTCAGTGGGGTTGAGGTCTGACCTGCAGACAGGCCACTCCATCCTCTCTATTCACAAATTCTGCAGTTAGTCTGATAAATCCCACACTGTGGGGGCAAGCATTGCCATCATATGGAGGACATAGTTCGGTCCCAGACTGTGGAGATATGGGACTGCCACTGGTTGCAGAGCCTCTTCTTGATATCTCTGCATTACGATTGCTACCAGTGAGACAAACAATAACGTGGCGCACAGTGTGACGTCAAAAAAGGCGCACACCTTTGAGGCTGCGTTTTCTCTGTTTTTCT